CGCTTTTGATAAAATTTAATTAATTTAAGATATAATTGAATGCTTTCCTTTTGGAGAAATTAATACATATCATATCACATTTGATACGAAAAACAAAACAAGAAAATTTAATAAAATCATCAAAAATGGTTGGTAAATTTTCTTATTTAATGTTTTACCATTTAAAACCAAATTATGAATCAATTGGATTTTACGGAAACATTTCTCGTGATGTACGATAATAGTTGTCATTTTTATTCGGCAATTTTCACATACATCTACCATTTGAGAAGATAATCTGACATCGTCATTATTTATCTCATAGCATAACAGTAAATTCTCTGGTTCCACAAGCATTTTTCAGACGATTTAATGTACAAATAAAAGCGATCCCATTGCACACGTAGCGTTTTGTACTTGTATCCCTCTCTTAATTCACAATTTTTGAATCAATTCAATTTTCTTTTATTTGTTCGTAGATATATTCTCCCCTGAAACTATTATAGCAACAAAATGGAAATGAAAACGCGTATCGACATTGCATTTCGTATTTGAGAACCTATAATAAAGAGACTACAGTTCGATTGAGTAAAATGGTTGTCAGGAGTCACTTTGGTTTCGTTTCATAAAAAATGTGTTGCGAATTGTCCTCACTCCTTGAGAACACTTGCACACACATCATCGTCATACCATCTGTAAACATTGCGACATTAATCGCTCAATTATTTGTGCCTTGTACTTTGGGTTTGACATTGAGCTGAATGGCATGTTATCTACTGCTGACATCAAAATTACACGAGAAAAGAAGTTAGATTTTTTTTATATATTTTTTCTTCGTTTGTCTCTCATTCTTATGCATTCTTGTGCTTTTTTCTGCTTTCAATAGCTGGGCTTTGAATTGTTTTGGTTGTCGGTTACAACGACGAGATCGACAGACATAGCGGTCGGACTGACTTTTTCTGCAAATTTAATAAAATTTCGATTGTGTGTTATGTTCAAGCGACCATTATTCTTAGTGGAAGTGTACGTTTTTTTTTCTCCATACGACTTCTCTCAATTTTTTTTTAAAAAAGCTTTGTTTGTTGTTGCATTTGCTAAACGTGTTTTTACGTTTCATTTTTGCTCTTCTCGGTCGATCATATCGTGTTTGAGTCATATAACATGTTGGTAGAACAATAGAGCTGACTTGAATATCGAGGGTGAATAAAACCAAATGACTATTCACATCTTTGTGTGCTTTGTGTGTATTGTGTCAACTGTTATCCCAATTATTGTTTTAGCATGCAAATTAAATGGCAAGCATTTATCGGAGACATGCATAAAAATTCACTCGAAAATCGACTCGAAAAGAACGCAAACGTATCATAATACAGAGACTAACATCAGCAAAAGCAGCTATAACAAGAAAAACAATAACTTGATAAAATAAAAGGAAAACAAAAATTGTCAACTGAAACAAAACTAAAATAACCATTCCGTTTTGTTGTCATTGCTCTCCGTTGACTTTTACTTATGCGAATGTTATATTTTTTTGCATATTATTATCATTGCATTGAAACGGCGAAGTAGCTGTGTGGCCAAACATTTGAAACATCAAAAATGCTTCGGGTGAAGTAACTCGTTAATCGTGGCTTTTCACATACGCATTGAAGCGTGCACAGTGCACACACATAATGTTGTCTTAAATCTATTAAAAGTGGGCAGATTTTAAACAAAGTTTAGTTGATTTTGTTGAGTCGCTCGCATGATAAACAAAATATATAGAAGTATAAACATGAAGAATGCGAACAAAGTGCTTTCGGTTATTTTGTTGCAATTTCTTGCATTTTCCTTTTGAAAAATGCCACTATCATCGAAATAACGATGACTATGACAGGCAATGGTGACACCACCCACATCAGAAAACATACGAAATCTTTCTCTCTCTTCTCGCTCCCGTTCGCTCCCTTCGTAAAATGGAATATTTTATGAAAACGCTATAAGCACAAGTAAACTATAACTGCACGAAAGCAAATAGCAAAATGCAACTCACAACCGAGACGACCGATTTCAAAAAGGAATATGAGTTCGAAAGAAAGGTGGGGCAGAACGACAGCTTAAACGCTACTCGTTTCGTTTGGTACACATAACCACAAAACTCTTCTTTCTCGCTCTTCCACTATTTCTCCCACTTTCGAAGGTTAGTGAAACGATATTAGATGTAAAAGCAAACAACTGAACACCCCTTATGAGAAAGCAGCAAAATACAGAGAGATAGTAGCGAGCAGGGTGTAAGCATGTGTACAAAATGTGTATGTGTGTCTGCTGTAAACACATTTCTTTTAGAAATGAGTGCATTTACCTCACGCTTATGCTTTAGTGTGCAAACACATTTTTTTCTCTAGCCGCTTTATTTTTTTTTATGTTCGTTCATTTCTCTTTACTCGCTTACATTTTTAGAGAAAAAAAACTAGACAACTTTTTATATGAGTTTCTATCATTTACCATCTTTTCTCCATCACCTGTTTTTCTGTAGTGAATCTCGAGCTATAGTTATTTCTATATCCAAAACGGAATGTCTCTTTCTCTCTCTCTCTATCTCATACTTTCTATGTATGTTGAACCAAAGCTCCTTTTTGTTTGAATTAAACGTAGCACATAAAAAATGCGAAATGTTCATAAACAAATAAACGTATTTTGACGAAGTCTCATCAAAAACACCAACTACACGCAACGCGTATACTTGTCGTTTGAATCACACAATAACTCTTTCGGTATTTTCCTCTCTCCCATGCATACACACACATATACCATATCACGAAATAGATTTTTATGACTGTACCGTATTTTTTAGCAAGCTTTTACTTCTATTTCGATAGTTGAGGGGCGAAATGGATGGAATTTTGTAGATGCGATAGAACGAGAATGATGGAAAATGAATGCAATGAAAAGAAGAGAAGGAGTAAAGGAAAACTGAAGGGAATAAAACCGCAAGAGAATGGAAAATGCCATGAAAACACCAAAAGCATCACAGAATAAAACAGAAGAAAGCTAGAGAACGTATCACCAATGCACACATTGCTGTAGATACTAGCGACATAATAAAATGCCACAAGTTATGCATATTTTGTATGAGCCCAAGCAAATAGCATCGTTTGCTGGGTATAGGGGGGTGTTTGAGAATAAACATTGAAGAATAAGAGAAACGACAGCAACACCGTTACAAAAATGGAAAATATCGACAAAAATATATTTTAGTACACTAGTATGCGGCAAGAAAAAAAACACACACACACACAATCACACACAAAATAGATGGCAAAATAAAAACCAATGAAAGAAGAAGAATGAAACCAAAAAAAGAGGAAAAATGCAAAGCAAAGCAAAACATGAAAAATAAGCATTTGGGGTAATAGAATGGTTTTTTTTATTTCTCAACGGTCGTCAACATCGGCCAGCTCTTCACTTACACACCAAATGCCAAGGAGCACTCTTAAAAAAATACATTACAGATTATCTAACCATAAGTTTTGTTATTTTCTTCGCTAGTTTACCGCTTTGGGTGGTGTTCTTTTCTCTTTGTTTGGTTGTTTGGACACTGCTGTTTTGCTGTTAGAATGCAATGCTCCATTTCTTGATTATCATTTGGACAAATGTACGATATTTTCGTTTCTCTCTCTCTCTCTCTCTCTCTCTCTCTCTCTCTCTATTCGCTTTATCCCTCACGTGTCACTCTTTCAAATGGATCATCCATGTTGAACGATTCGCTTGCGTGTTCGCTATTCTAATGTGTGACAGAATATCTAATCGTAAATCGAAAAATATGTATTGTGCTACTTTGTTGGTTGATTTTGCACGTAATTACGAAACGGTGCACAGGCAATCGTTCGTTGTTTTAAGGTGATCAAAGCTTTAAGTCTCAATTTACGAAAATGCTTCGGCGGCGACGGCGGCGTCATCGTCGTCTTCGTCGTTTTTGTTGTCTTTAACAATGTATGTTTGTGTCGTTTTGTGCGACATGGGATTTTGCTTGCCAACGCACTTACAACAAAATTCAATTTAAAAGCTTATGTGCTAATTTTGTCTTCATTCCACTTCTGGATTTCGTGAAACATAAATGCTCGTAGTTTGGGTTCATTTTTAACATGTAAGCCATTGTCATCGTTGTCGACAACGACGACGTTATTGGACCCACCTTACGTTGCATCATATATTGTAATCTGTCTGCTATTTATCGATTCAACCAATATCGATAATATGAATCTAGTATCCAAACATGTATACAGAATCAAAATAACTATGAACTACCTAAATGCCAAGCTAAAATTCTATTTATTTCGCATTGCACCCGAAGAAATGACGAAAAGTTTTGAATCAAATAACAACTATTCTATAGCAACGACAATAATAAGAAAAAAACACGCTTAAAATCATTGCTCTATGTGTTGTTCGATTAAAAGGAGATGATGAAACTCTCTCGCATTATGTTTACAATACACAATGTGAAATTTAAATAGAAAAACTAAAATACTGGCGGTTACAATTGAGGGAACAACAAACAATTAAAATAGGCTTTAGTTTGAAAATCTATTTGTTATAGCAAAAAAACAACACACTCAAACAATGTTGCAATCGTCGAGGTGTGCCGGTATATATGCATTCGGTTAATGGTGAAAACGAACTCCAGAGAGAGAGAAAAAAAAAGAATGAGCAAATCGTTATTGAAAAGAAAATGGTAGGCGATGGCTGCACCAGCAGCTAAAGCCAATTTTAGGAAGAGGAAAGGTGGAAAATATGCAATCGAAGACGGGAAAAACAAAGAGTGAAATTGAAATTTTTGGTTGCTTTCAAGCCATTGTCTGCTTTTCTTTTTAAAAACTTGATTGTGAGTTTACAATGGTAGCTTCCACGCTCTATCTCTATGTCTCACATTTTTTTTTAACTTCTTGTTATTTTCAATATGAGCGCTTATTCCGTCATTTATTTTAATCTCAATTCTTTTTATTCTCTTTTTTCTCTCTTATTTCTTTTCTTTAATTTAGTTGGCGATATCGATCGAATATGAAATAAATAACAAAAAGGTTAAATAACCTTTGATTTAGTCGGTTGACTTCGTTTGAACCATTGGTGATAGTGTGAAAGGTAAATAAAAGACGATGGAACTGTTAAACATTCAAAAGCAATGCGCGCACACACAATGAAGCATTGAGATACATCGATTCGAAAAATTGTATCCTGATTACAACGTAGAAAAAAAACGGGGAGGAACATTTGTGACGAACAACGGCAATGATATAGAAAAGTTGAGGAAAAGTAGACATTGTCTCACGCGCAAATATGCCAAAATCAATAACATAGATACAAAATAGCATCCATATAATAAAAACAACAACAATAACACAATAAAGTCGCTTGATTGGACCACGGACAAAACATATACGCGACGCGCACTCATTCAATTTGAGATTTGGTTTGGGTGCATCGATTTTCTATTATTAGTTCATTCTCTGTTCATCTTGTCGGTATGTGTGTTCATCGGTTTTGATTCGCTTCAATGGCCAAACATTAAGCTGAAAACATCAACCAGCGGACGAACATAATTGAAAACAAGGATAAAACGAAAGCGTGTTGTATGTTTATTGTGTAAATAAAATGGAAAATTGAACAATTATACGGTGTTACATTTTTGCCCAAGTCACATACATACACATTTATTAAAAGCGTTATTGGTGTTGCAAATGGAAACCAAGTAGCAATTGCATCAGCGAACCAAACTAACAACAATAAAAAAAGGAAGAAATGTTGTTATAATATAGATCGATAAATAAATATAGAGAGAGAGAGAGAGAAACGCACACCCAAGAATTTAGTTCAACGATTAAATTTAACCAAAAAAGGAGAGAACTATGCAAGAGAGAAAGAGTATAGAAAAGTAAATACGTAAGCGCATAAATTCAATAGAGTTACTGCATGTCCAAATAAATTGCAAACGAATAACGCAAAAACTAGGAGAAGAAGAAGCAAAAGCAGGGAAAAAAATCCAGAATATCGACTGCATGTGTGTGAATTTATATTAGGAATAAGAATCTTAAAGGAAAATTGAGAAAGGATAGCAAAAACAGAAGAAAAAAAATCAACCCATTACGTTAGAAAGAAAAAGAAAACGTTACACCTCACTCACATACACATAAATACATACTTCACACACGACGGAAAATATAGTTGAAAGAGAAATTAATGTGCTCTCCCCGACAAATATATTAATGTGTTACACGTGAATGTGTTTTGTTGTTTCATTTTTTTTTTACATACAACACAGAGTAAACAAAAAATAAAAAAATAAAAGAAAAAATATATATTATATATCTATATAGAAAATTGGTTTATATTTAGTGAAAATTGTGAAGCGAAAAGAATAACGCAAAATGTGTTTATTATATTAATCATTCGAGATATATTTTAGCGAAAAATAAGTGTATGTGTTTTACTGTTTAGTATAATAAATGGCCAAAGTAGCAAAATTCATGTAGAAACGAGTAACAAATATTAAGCACTAACGAAGAAGAAGAAATCAAAATCATTTTTCGCTTGAAAAAGTCTGTGCAACCAAAAACAAACAAAAAAAACCAAGTCAAACAAAATACAGAATATTAAAACGGTGAAACGAGACGAAATCAAGGAATTCGAGAGATCAGCGAAAATAATAAATAAAACGAGTCCAAAATCCATCGACAAGAGCATAATACCATTTCAATAGAATTATCCAACCCAAGACGTTTCTAAGGCTTACAATCTGAATATATATATATAGCAGAAGCAGCAAGAACGCCAACTCAAAGCACATTGAGCAATAAAAACCAAAATAAATAGGAGCAGACAGGGAACAAGCAAAGCGAAGAAAATCTAAAGAAAAAACAATAGCGCCGTACGCGAAAAAGAAGAATCACTGATTTGAAGGGGCAAAACAAAATATATAAGTGCTTCAACCAGAGCAAAAAAACAACACATACACCAACACCAACACACGTAGCGACGAAAACGAAACAGAAACATAATAATGGCGTTGCAACATGTTTTCGGTGCAATAATAGCTTTTACTTGTGTCGCATGTTACTACAACAGTACCCAGTGTGACTTTGTGTTCGACGACATAAGTGCTATTAAAGAAAATCGTGATTTACGACCTCATACGCCATGGCGAAATCTATTTTTCAACGATTTTTGGGGCACACCAATGCAAAAGGTAAGCCACTTTTATTTCACATTCTCTATAATATATAAATGTAGCACATAAATTTCATTGCGCACACTACACAAATTAATAACAATGAATATAGCTGTGTAAATGGTATAGCCCAGTCGCATATTGTTACCTCCTTCGCACTTTCTCGCCCAACAATTTTTTGGTGTCGATAAAGCGAGAGAGAAAAAATGAGTGGAGAGAATAAGACCCAGTATGTAATGCAATATATCGTCCAATTTGGTTGCCGCACATCGTTAGAGGGTTCAAAATAAGTTTTACTCTTTGAAATCGATCTCAATAATTGTGTGTGATTGTAAGTACAAGTTTTTATCGAGTCTGTTCCATTGTTTAAATGTATGTTTCCGATGGAGCAATTTTATGCCGAGACTAGAAAAAGAACACACACACACACACACCATAGTCACACAACCAGATGGAATATAAGATTGAACGTGTACACACCAAATGCAACATCGTATTGAACTAACGAAAATATGTTATAACATTTATATCCGCAAATATAATCTGTTGGCATTTTAGATGAATGTTTTTCTAACTTTTTAAACGTTAAGCCCTTTTCTATCCCCATATAGCTAGCTAATAGTACTTTTTTTTCTCTATTATTATAAGTGTTCACTAAAAAAAAGTCTTTTCATCCAAAACTGCATGCGAACTAAAGCCCATTCATTATAGCGTTGAACTGAAAACTTTTCTACCATACTTAAGATTGAGCTTGCGTATGTGTTGATACGATGAATTGAATTGTAATGGTGAATTCAAACGGATTAAACTTTTCACACATACACAAATATCGCCCTGTTTTCGATATGATGCGAGTTTATAGTGTTTTAATGACGGCTCTATTTAATATATACCGATTTTTTTTATGGTTGACGAACTAAAACAAAGCCGGCTGTTTCAGTTTATCGCTTCAAATACGTCTCATAACCAATTGTGCGAATAGCCTCGGATAAAAGCAAACAATCATCCGGATTGGTCTTGACAATGATGGCGAAGGAGATTTGAGAAAATGCGAAAACAAAGGTCATTTCTTCACATCATGGAATGGAAATTATAAAGTTCCGTTTGTTTCATGCTGTGTGCACTTCAATATTATTTTATTTTCTATGCAATAAAGCAAGCGGTCAAAGTGTGTACTGCATTTTTATGTAAACCAATCATTTCAGATAACTGTCAGCGTATAGAAGGAGCTGAACAATGTAAAAACAAAGTGATTTTCAATTGAAACAACTGGATATGTTGAAATTGTTGAGATTTAAGGATAAAGTTAGGAGTCAATTTAAACCATTTACCACATTATTTGATTTTGAATGGCTTATTTGGATCCAACTGGAACAATCAAACATAAGAAGCCATCGAATACTTGCGTCAAATGAAATCTGTACCTAATTCACATTGCTCCAATGCATTGGCGTTGCGGTATATTTGGTGAACGATTTCAATGCCCATAAAATAATAATTAAATGCATTTGCATCGATATAAATGACCATAGCAAGACAAATAAATCATGTGTGCAATGAATGCTGAATATGAAATCCCAGCATATACGCATGACCACACACATGCACATGCATACATGTACATGCAGCATACAAAGCCATTGGATTGTTTGGATTAAATGTTCCTGATACAATTAGAAAGGCTTTTGACATATTAAAGAATACATATGTTTGAAGCTTCGTCGATTAAAATGGCTATTGGCATGTGTGGTTTCTGTTTCTTATATGTATACATATATCAAAATAATGCAATTTCCATTCAGCGTCTGATTAAAATGTCACGTAATTAAAATTGATGTATATAAAAGCGATGGTTTTTATAGTGAAATGCGACAAATGGTAACTCAAAACCACTAGAAATGTAAAAATCATTGGAAAAAAATGGCATTTTTATTGAAAAAATTATTTGATGCAGATTTTTAACTTCCAAAAGCACCCAAAATACATCAAATGTAGCTGTAATCTCTTTTTGATGAAAAAAAATATGTATCGAGTAATGACATCCATTTCAATTAGGCTTGTCGGATTGGATGCGGACATACTACAGAGTTTTAAATACTGATGTAGTGGTTCTGCAATCGATATTCCAATGGAATAATTACATAAGCATTAAAAATTCAAATTATGACATTGGACAACAAAAAATACCAAAGAGAAACGAAATCCGGCAAGCCCAATTTCAATAGCCAAAGAAACTATGCATCGATGACAGTAACTGAATAATTACGATTATTACAAAGAATAATTTATTAATTTATTAATAAGAATTAATAATTCAGTCGAAAAAAAGTCAAGATTAACTCATCGCCTGATCAATTTGAATGATTATTTTGTTAAGCGATACTTTTCTTTCGATATTTTTCTCCATATAATTATGAGGAGGAACCGCGTCAAAGGGTAAATCTATACAATAAAAATGAAAGAAACATTATTTCATTGTTGTGTGTCTTGGTTCGTGTCGTTTTTTTCTCTGTCTCTTTCAATCAAACAAATTAATAGTTTGAAATGTGTCACACCCCAATATGCGTTCTTGGAAGTCGATGTGAGTATCTTTTTTAACTTTTTTTGGAGGACAATGATGACACCACAATTTTATGGTATGGAAAGTCACATCACGACCATTATGCTTGATATATATATACCCCATTCTTGGTACTTATCGGGCAATACGTAAGCAAAAAATCTTTTTATCGAACAATGTAATGCTTCATACTGAATAATATATGTTCATAAAAATAGAATTATATAATTACATTACATTATGTATGACGCCGATTCTTTCAACATCTATAGTTAATGGCACTGATATATCGTATATTGGAAAACAGTAATGCATGCTTTTAATGTTATTTAAAAAAAAAAGATTCGTGATTACACATAAAAGGTACTCGGCACGTTTTTTTTCTATGTATGTTAAAGTAAAAATGTTTGAACACATCTCAACGCATCTATTTGGCTAACATACTTATATGTGTTCAATAATGAAAAAAAATTGTCTTGATATTCGAAAACATATATTTTCATAGCAATGGTTGTCAGCAGCAGAATTTCAAATTTAGTTTTCAAATAAAATAATAATTAAAATCATTTTTATCCGACCCAATAACATTGCATTTAATATATTATATCGATTTCGCGTCAAGATGGTATGGTGCACAATGGATTTGTGTATATGCTGTACTAAATTGTCTGTACTCGATTGGCATACAATCGCCAGTGAATGTGTACATAAAGGCGGACTCTCTTTATTGAAATGCGATGAATGACATAGTATTATCGAGATATAGAAACATGTCACTGATGCCGATCGATATTCTATACACTTGACCAGCAAAATGATAACAACCGCTTAGTCCACTTCAAAGTTTTGGAATAGTGAAGCTGTTATTTTTATCTCTTCAATTTGTGTATATGGATTCAATGTTGATAGTGTTTAAGCTTTTAGTTTTTGCCAGAGCTTTTAATGCTGTTTATAACGTATATTATACGTCACATAATCCAGTAATCTCGTTTAGATTATATTCGATACTATCCAGTTGATCTATTTTATCAAAACTTATGCTCTTTCTTCGTTATTATCATTGTCGTTTGAAGCGCATATTGTGCAAGTACTTGCAAGCGCATTTCGTCAAAAATGTCATTCCGTCGAATTCGACATATGAAAACTTGGTTTTATATACACACCGAAAAGAAAACACTGGAATTGAATTATTCAATTGTGTCCGTAAGAATAAATATGGCAATACAAAAACGGAATCTGAAGAACGTTACATAATTTTTTTTTGTAACGAGTTGTACTACGTTTTTGTATTGCCACTTTTATTCCCATGGACACAATTTTCAATTGTTTAAAAGTGAACAATTTCGATGTTAGCAATGGAAATAAAGTGAAGACAGATCACAGAGATATTTTCTATTTAAATGAACATTTTAAATTAAGCGAAAACAACCACGTGTGAATATTCCCCATTTGAATACAATTAAAAACTTTCGGCAAATTCTACATGCCATAAATATTCATTGTATTAAATAATATAGACACACATGTATACACGACCAATTCTTTGTTTTATTTAACAAACCGGCAAATACCTAATAACTTAATCTGTCTCCTACATCTCATTGCCAAACATCAGCAAATTAGAAACTGGGCCAACACAGATTCATTTTTTTTTTGCTTGTTCGATGGCTTTTTTGATTCGCATATATGAATTATAAACAAAAAATGTTATACATGAATTTTATTGAAATGTTCGTTGGTTTCGTGCATAATTACGCCAATGCGACATTTGTATTGAGTGCTGTGCTCATTTTTGTCGAAGCAATATACAATTTAGCATGCAATAAATAAGCTGCATATATTCACTTATTTATCGACAAATTACGAACTTTCGACGCCTTTTTTCACGAATCGAATTTTTTTATTCACTTCAAAAAAAATGTCGACATTTCCAGCCAAAGCAATTTCCAATAACTTCCCTTCGGCATATTATGTTTTATTTTAATAATAAAGTGGAGCAATTCAGATGCGTAATATTGGACTGATATTCCATTTAAATTATAAATAGATATTTGGGGAAAAATTGTAAATATGCCATTTTCTGTTTTTTGATGACATATGCAATACAAACATTTCTTCAAAACGATATCGATTGACATTTTAAGTCTCTATATGAGAGTGGATATGCCAAAAGCGAAGAAAAATATGTGATATGACGAGAAAGAGACGGAATTTAATTCATATAATCAAAGTCAAAGCATTTCGATTTGAATGTGATATGTATTTGTCCGTATATTTCTTGAAATTCAATTAGAATTTGAAGTGAATTCACAAAATCAACGCAGTTCTTTTCGTCGTTGCTCAACTTAAAAGCATCAATTTACATAAATGATTCGTTTCGCTGTTTTTTTTTCTTCATCCAATTCTCATCCATTTAAATTGAAAATGCCGGGAAATTGTGGAAAGTGCGTTTTTGCGTCAATTCATTTTGCATCAAAAGCTTTTTCGAATGAACAAATAAACAGCGTATAAAATTGTCATTCGATTTGATAATTGAGAATAAGTGACATCAACATCATCGTCGTCAACGTCGTTGTCAGCAAATGGAAGTTAGATTGAAAGAAAGAAGCAACAAATCTCTCAGAAAATTGACACTCGAATGCGTCTTGATTCAGAAATATTACCGGTTCTCATATAGGACGTTTCTGCAATGTTCGTTTGCAAATCAATATTATTTATATATCGAATTTCGTACAGTACAACGCAAAAAGTTGTAATTTGAAGTGGTTGCGTTGGAAAGCCGGAGAAATGTCATCACATTTGAAATATGTTGTACAGTGATGTCTCCCAATAATCAAATCTCACGGGACTGTGCTTACCATTAGATATTTTTTGAGTTTCCATTGAATCGTTGAAAGCTTGTATGTTATACAAAATATTTGTTTTTTTCATGATGAAACTATGAAGACTGTACTATTTCAAATACTTGTTCCATTATTTGAAGATAAATTTCATACTTTCCACACTAAGTGAATTTAACTATTTTTTGGTTTTGTTGCATACGATGTTTGGTACGTGAACGTTTTGTTCTTGCACTACTTAATGTATCGTATTCCATGTTGCGTAGTATGCGCTTGAGCTTTTGCTTGAGATTTTCAACATTTTTTTTTGCAGATAATATCTTGCAAGTTGGATTAAACTATAATGAAAGAAGTATGTTAGTTATTTAAATTTTGACAGTAATTTTGATAAAGTCTATTATATCCGAAATAAAATCACATTTAATTTCGTTGCCAAGATATTTTTCGATGTTGTTCAATATATGTAATCTCCCGTTAAAATTAGTTTTAGTGGTTAAAGATGAAACTCAATACCCGATATCCTATCATATAACCATTTTGAGTTGATAATGTTTTACGAGAGAAAAGAGTATACATTTGCATCAAGTTTCACGCTTTATTGAATGCGTTCCACTGAAAATGAACGAAAATTAGTTTTTGGTAATGAGTGTACTTGACTGTACATTTAAGTACTGGAAAGAGTACAAAAAAGTGCAAAAAGCGTTTTGGCCGTGTATGTATGAGTTTGGATGAGGGATTTCAAGTGGTTTTTCAGATTCGAGAATTTCGATTTTATTAAATTGTATAAGCTTTTTATCATCTCATTTCCAATCGGCTTGTGTCATGCATAATAAATATGCGGTTGCACAAACCGACGTAGAACATTTTCGGTTGAATCATTTTTACCGATGCGTTTGCGCGCTTATTTCGTCAAATCGAAACATTTGGAAATTTTCACCCGACAGAGATGGCAAACAGCAACAACCGAATACTGTTTTCCACCGAAAATGTGAAACATAAAACCTTCACGCTCAACGTCCATGCTAATTTATGCACTGAACTGCATGATATAATATTTAAAATGAACAGAGCAATTACATGCGAACGATTCAGTGGCAACATTTACATACAGATATTGTGGAAAATAGACTTTTCTCGGTTGCCAAATCTCATATATCTCTCTCTCTCTCTCTCTCTCTCTCTCTCTCTTTTTTTTTTTTCTCTCGATATCAAATAAAGTGAAAATAACTTTTTTTGTCATAGAATTCGGTTCGAAAGTAAAATGAAACAAGCAAATCGTTATTTTAAGATCATATCTAATGCAACTCATTTAGTTTCAAATAAATAACGTTGTGCGACAGATAACATGAATTTCAGATTCATTGGTCCAATCTGAATCCAATCTTGATATTTGAAAATAACAAATGCATTATCATCTTATATCATTTGTGATTATCAATTGGTTTTTGTTAACATAACTTATGTACTTGATGCGGTTTATTGTCCTACCATTTATGCAGCATATAAATATTATCAATCTGTCTATTGTTCCACCCAGTCCATCCAGACCATTAACACTGTCCCCATTCATCGAATATAATAGTAGTTCAATGTCCTTTATAATATTAAGATAATATATTTAACCATTCTAAATTTATTTTTCTCTATTTTTTTAATCTTGCAGGAACAAAGCCATAAATCATATCGACCGTTGTGTGTGCTCACGTTTCGTTGGAATTACTTAATTCATGGGCTCGAACCATACGGTTATCATTTAGTTAACATATTACTGCATCTAGTTGTATCGTTGTTATATTTCAGGTAAGTTCAATTGCATTATACAGGTTGTTTCACAACTTTATCATAATATTTACACAAGAGATCCTTATCTCAAGAGAAAGAAAAAAAAACCCTTATAAATAGTTTTTCGTGTTGGTTGGTTTTACTACGCAAATTTTTCCATACATCCTTATATCTTTCGAAAAAGTGATATTTTTGCCAATTTTTGGAACATATAATCCATGATTTAGCTAACAGATGCTAAAAAATGCAGATTGACTTTTTAGTTGGCTTAGTATGCGGCGCTGCATGCGACAACGTAACGAAAAAGAGGAATGTGTATACTTATCCACTATGACAAACTAAGCCATAGATTAAGCACTGCAAAAATGATAAATTTGTTGAAACTA